TCTCTCTCTCTCTCTCTCTCTCTAACAAATAAATAAATAAAACCTTAAAAAAAAAAAGCTTTTGGGAAAAAAATATATGGGTTTAAAATAGACCCAATGTGAGGAGAGCAAAAGCCTCTTGATAATAGATACATAGACGTTGCACAGGGGACAGTACTCGGCAGGAAAGGACCTAAGGAACAACAGCTGCTCCCAGCACCACGGGTGAATCTTACAAATACAATGTTGCAGAGAAGAAACTAAGCCCAGAATAATACTGGCAGGAGGATTCCATCTCTAGAACGTTCGCCAACGGGGAAAACTAAACCACACTGATAAGGAAGCACACGTGTGTAAAATTATTTTTGAAAGCAAGGAAATGATTATCCCAAAAGTCGGGATGGTTCAGAGAAAAAGGATGGGGAGAGGAAAGGGGCTGTGTTCTGAAGAGCCGAAGACCAATTATTGTTTAAAGTGTCTATGTTTTATGCACATATCTACCTTATATTTCACAATTAAAGAAGAAAAATTGTATAATGTACAGGATTTAAAGTTATTTGTTGGCAGACCTAGGGAAATTAGGCAGCGAGCCTAAAGAAGAGCTGGGGAGGGGAATCTCTTCTTTTAAAACTCGGATGTGGGACGAAAGTGCTCCGGTGGGCGGGCAGTGAAGGCGGTGAGAGCAGCTGGGCAGCTGGCTGCCTCAGGTAGCAAGCCTTGGGCAGGGAGCCAGAAAGAAATCCATCCCCATCCTTCTGGCCTTGACCAGCCCCCAGGACTTCCCCCACAGGATCAGGTTTTCATGGGAATCTGGAAACAGCTGGGCGGGAGCAGCTGTGGAGATACATATCCCAGCCCCTTCCTCCAGCCCCTGCCCCTCAGAGCCTCTTTCCAGGGAAGAAGGGGGGTGCGGGGGGGGGGTCACTGGGACTCACAGGAGACGTTGACCTGCACGGAGATTTCGGCCCGGCCCATGTCATTCTCCGCCCAGCATGTCACATTCTTCTTATTGAGGTCACTGGTGACATTGGCCAGCGTCAGCCCCAGGGATGGCAGACCCCCAGATTGCTGGGTCAGGAAAGAGAAGGGTAAATGAGGGAGAGTGTCAGCAGGTGTGGGTATGGAAGCAGGGGGCTGGAGCTGATATCTTTGGGGCACCCCTGTGGCTCCAGATGGAAAAAAAGGAGGAATGGAGAGAAGAGCGGGGAGGGAAGAGGTAGAGGAGAGAATGTCCCCCCGCCTTCAGAGCTTGTTCGCAGACTATCTCCTGGACCCTTTATTTAATGATCCGAAAAAACCTAGAACATGACCAGTAACTTCAAAACAGGCGCAGAATACCCTGAACCAGGACCACCATCTGAGCAGCTCAACAGATGTCAAGAACCCCAAGTACCAAACAGACACAACTCATTCTTGCTTTACACGCAGTGTAACAGTCTCTGCCCAGGGGAGACCAGAAATACGGGCTGGCAGGGCATTGGGTAGGCACGGCGGCGGCACCCTGAGCCCCTCTGGCAGATAAACACGGAGAGAGAAGCTAGCGGCAAAGTGACTTGATTCTGAATCATCATCAGAAGACTCGATTGGGTTCAGATTCTCTTCCTGAGAAACTGTGGATGTGTGTCAGTCACACGACCTTAGGACAATTCCTAATCTTGCCGAACCGTGCCTTTCTTGCTTTGTTAAGCCAAGGAGGTAAGACAAAATGATCTTTCGACATTTTAGAAAGCTATTTCCATAAAATGATGGAAGTCAATGGAGCAGTGGACAAACCTCATTTATCTGGAAATTTCAGAAATGCGGAATCCTGTGACTAAGTGCCAGAGAAGGTGAAGTTTCCCCGGGCTTCCACTGGAATGAAAGCTCGAAGTTCCAGAAGAGCTCTCTAGCCTCTTGTGCACGCTCTGGCTTCCAGCCTCCTGCAGAGGAAGCCCGGCCCTGCCCCAAGCTTCTGTCTGCAGCCCCGTCTCCCCCAAATCCCTGGGGATGCAGGGCAGCCCATCAACTCCTCCCTTTGAGCTGCTCTGCCACCGTCCCATCTCCTGAGGGTGACCAGCCTCCCCTGCCCTCCACTGAACCCAGTTGGGTGTGACTTTTCTATAGGAAGTTTCTAGAAAACAGAAGTGGTAGCAAACACGTAAATCCCCAAAGAGAAAAGCAAAACCCTGGAATTTCCCAAAACAGCTGAGCAGAGGTCTCTCCACCGATGGTCACGGCCAACCTCTTGCCTCTGCCTTGTTCCCTTTCCATCACTCACTCTCGGGGGCTCTGCTCAGCGGCTCATGTTCCCCCCACCATACCTGGGTCCCCAGCTCCAGTGGCTCCTCCTCCTTTCAATATCGTTCCAGGGGCCTCCAGCGATCCTGGGGGTGGGTCCCCTCCCAAAGTGAACACACTGGCCCGGCTCCTCCAACGGGCTGGACCCTGTGTGCCCACCCATGTGGGGCCAGATTGAGGGGTGGGCACAGCCTACTGTTGGCCTCGGCTGACCTTGTCCACAAGGCCTGAGTCAGCTGTTGGCTGCTCGTGGCTGCCTGAGCACAAAGGGCCAGGCACGGGAAGATGCCCAAAGACACATCTGCATGACAGAGATAGCAGCCAGAGAGTGCCCAGGGGTGGTTGGGACATCAAAGGTCATCACATCCACCTCCTAGTTGACAACCAGGCAGGGACATCAAAGGTCATCGCGTCCACCTCCTCAGTTGACCGATAAGAAAACCAAAGTGTAGGCATACTAAGGGATTTTTCCGAAACTCAGTCCAAAAATTCATTAGTGAGAAAGCTGGGCCCAGACCTGGACCTTCTTTACTAATAAGCTCATCACACACCCAAGAGAATGCTGCTTTCAGAATCTCCAGACAAAGATGGGAAGGACCCTGAGAACGCAGCTGGATGCAGGACCACAAATACTGTGCGCTCTCCCCCGGTCCTGTTCCCTTGTCTACAAAACCAGTGGATGGGAGGGATGGTCTGTGGGTCCAGGGACTGCCTCTCTGGCAGCGAGCGCCATGTTCCCAGAGAGGGGCCTGGGGTCCCCGCTGGGTCAGTGCCCACCCTGAAGGCATGTGTGTGCCTGCCCCACAGAACGAGTCTGAGCCTCATGGGTCGAAACCATATCTGCCCCTCCCTTGCGTTCTATGTGCTTCTTCCTCACTGTCTCTCTTTTCCTGGCTTTGTCCCCTGTGTCCTGTCCAAGCCTTTCCCGGGGAGAGGGGAAGAGGGGGGACAGGGACGGGGCAGTGAGGGGCTTCTCACCGTCACCGTGGCCGACTCCTCCAGCTCCGTGAGGATCCAGCCAGCCCCCTCCAGGCCCCGCCCCTCCACCAGGCACTGCAGCGACACGTCGTCCCCCACATCCACGGAGGTGTTGGGCATCTGGACCTTCAGCACGGGCACGCCTGGTGGCCCAGGATGGCCGAGGCACGTTAGAGCAGGGCGCAGCCCCAGGGCTTTCTCCCGCATGTTCCTCAGTGGCCCCGAGCCCCCGCCGGCAATGCCCAGTGCCCTCCAACCTTCAGCCCCCCCAGCTCTTGCCCATGCCCGTTCCGCAGTCCCCTGCCCAGTGCTCCCTCCACAGGCATGCGGCCCCCCCCAGACACCTCCCCCCGCCCCGGCACCTACCACAGCTAGCGTTGGACAAGAAGGCCAGGGGCCCCTGCCCGGGACACTGCAGCTTCTGGCCGCGCACGCCGCCCAGCCCCTCCTCCTCCCAGCGCAGCAGCCAGCGCAGGGCGCACGTGCAGTGCAGAGGGTTTCCCGACAGGACCCTGTGGGCATGGGGGACACCGAGAGAGTCGGGGATGGGCCGGCGCTGGGCCTGAAGCGCCACAGAGAACTGCAGTAACACGCAGGAGGGAGTGCGGTCAGTCGGCGGGGCGGGGAGGATCCGGAGGTGAAGGAACGGGGCAGAGGAGATGGTCCTCTCAGGCACCCCAGGCACAAGACATTATTACAAGAAAGAGAATCCAGAAAGCCCAGGGGCTGGCTGGGGGCTACATGGCATTCCCCTGCCCCAGCGGGCTCCACACACACACACACACACACACACACACACACACCCAGCTACGGCCCCAGGCGGCCCCTGGGCGTGGGGTGCTGGCGAGGTGGGCAGAGGTTTGCACGCACACAGCTGGCCCGGCGTGCCCAGCACAGGTGCAGGGGATGGCGCAGTCCCCAGGCTCCCGAGCGCACACGGCCTCAGCCAGCCAGCTCTGCCCCACACCCCGGCCGCCCCCAGGGCAGGAGTCCCCTGCAGGGGGCCTGCAGCCTTGGATGGGGGTCACGGGCGTGGGCAGAGTCCTCAGAGAGCAACCCCCCCACCGCCCGCCGCAGCTCCACACAGAGATGTGCGTGCGCGGGCACGCACACTGCTCTGGCCCCTGGAAGGCCCACACTCACAGCTCCTGCAGGGGGAGACCCTGGACGGTTTTCCAGGAGAGAGACTCCAAAGCGTTGAAGGAGAGATTCCTGTGGGAGTTGAGACAGAGACAGCCGCCTTGAGCCCCCGACCTCGCTCTGACCCAGGGTGAGGAGGGAGGAGTGGCAAGAAGCTGACGTCTGGCTTCTCTCCAGCCCAGGCAACTAGAACCAGCCTCGGAGGCACTGGGGCTGGGACAGGTTAGGCTCTTGGAGTCCCCCTCTTCTCGCTGGGAGAGCGAGGGTTAACCCCACCTAACCCCCTCCCCAGACCCCAGGGAGGGGGTCTCAGGGAACAGCCTGCTCCCCTCTCCCCCCCTTGGCCCCAGCTGGCAAAGTGCTGAGGCCCCAGCTGGGGGAAGGGACTCCATCTGTGCTCCCCTGCCCGGGAGCCCAGAACCGGCCAGAGGAAAAGGGGGATGGTGACCAGGATCTCCGAGTACTTCCTCAGCTTCTCCCTGCCTCCCTCCTTCCCCTCCTCAGGGCCCCCAGGCCCCGGGACTCCAGCTGCAGACACGGAGAGAGTGCCAGCCGAGAGGTGCCAGCTCTGGGCCACACAGCGAGCTGGGTAAGGAGCCCCGCGCCAGCCTGCTACTCCGGGGAGCTCTCCGTCTACGGGGACTGCCCTGGCCCGTCTCCTTGCCTAGCTGTCCTACAGTTTGTGGGGGCTGAGTGGGGGCGGCACCACCACACAGGGATCAGAAAGAATGCCCAGTCCAGCACCAGACACAGCGGGGTGTGGCCTCGGCCCAGAAATGTCGCCTCTGTGATTCTCAGAATCCTCATCTATAAAAGGGAGCTGACACGCTCTCTGACCCATGTTGATTGTGAAGATTCACGGACATAAGTGTCGTGAGGTGTCACTGGGTACTCGTTTTTAACTGAAGCCCCAGTATGTCATGAGTGATGTGAGTAACATCACCTTCTCTGTTGTTGCTACATCACGGGACACAGCAGAGACTTTAGAGGACCCCGCACAACCCCATGAGTGGCAGGCCCCCAGCACCGCGCCGTCTGTCTATCTGTTCGCCATGGTAAGAAGGAGGGGCTGAACTCCTGGCCCCACAAGGCCAGAGAGGGGGCTGCCAAGGACTCCAAGAGTCTCCCTCTCCTGCCCCCCGCTGCCCCTCCCCACCAGCTACAGAGGGGCAGCTGTGACTCCCAGGGGTGGGCAGGGTGACTAGCGGTGGATCCAACGCCCCAGCTCCCAGGCTATCCCGGGGGCCAGTGACGGGGTGGGAGATGGAGCCCCGGCCAGAATGTGGAACACGCTCCTGTCCCTTGCTCCCTTTGGACTGGTATGTGTCTGAACTCCAGAAAGAAAAACAGGGCAGGCACCCAGGACGTCCCGTAGCATGAAGCGTGGAAGCGAGAACCCATGACCCTGCTGGTGCCCAGAGCGCAAGCATCCCTGAAGGAGATGCGGAAAAGCCCCAGGAGAATGGCCACATCCCTGACCAGGTCAGGGCCTTCTTCACAACAGCTGGGCGGTGGGGCACAAGCCCAGCAGCCACCCAAGTCTGGGGGTCCTCCCACTCCCTCTGCCCAGCCCTGGCCACTCACAGGCGACTGAGCCGAGGAGTGAAACGGAAGGCATCGGGCGCCACGGAACGGAGTCCACTCTTCACGATGGTGCTGGGGAGGGGAAAGCAGGGTCAGCCCACAAGGCCTCCACTCCCCTGGGCCCCGCCTCTCTGCCCACGCAAGACCCCGGCCCCCAGTGCTGAGTCCCGGACCCCCCAACCCCCCACAGCCTCCCCAGCTACCCTGGACCCCGCCTCTCTGCCCACGCAAGACCCCGGACCCCAGTGCTGAGTCCTGGACCCCCCATCTCCCCCACAGCCTCTCCAGCTACCCTGGGCCCTGCCTCTCTGCCCACGCAAGACCCCGGACCCCAGTGCTGAGTCCCGGACCCCCCAACCCCCCACAGCCTCCCCAGCTACGCTCGGCCCCGCCTCTCTGCCCACAGCCCTGGCCCCCAGTGCTGAGTTCTGGACCCCCCATCCCCCCACAGCCTTCCCAGCTACCCTGGGCCCCAAAGACCCCTGAGCTTTCTGATCTCCCCCATCCTCAGCCTCCCTGAGTCACTGGTCCCCCAGGCCCTGTGCTGACCCCCACACCGACAGTCAGCCCCCTCACAGGTCTCTCAGCTCCCCCAGGCCCCTCAGGTGAACGGCATCCAGATGCTGCAGATGCTCTTGGTTCTCGATGTAGCTGTGGGGAGAGGGGATGGGAGTCACAGGGGCCCAGGCCCACACTCGAGTTCCCATATCCCCGCACCTGCCTCCCTCACAATCACACCTGCAGGTGCATGCACACACACTCTAATGCACACTTGCACACATATGCACCCGGTCACACGCAGACCTGCGTGCGCACACATGTACAAAGAGTCACGTGCACGCGTGCGTCTTCACCATCACACAGGCACACTCACATCCCTCGTGTGTGCACACACAGGCACGCACATACGCACAGACACACCTCCTCGCACGTGTCTGCACACGCACTTGTGCGTGCGTGAACGCAGAGGTGGGCGCGTCAGCACACTTGTACCCTCACAAGCGGACGTGGGCGTTCATGTCTCTCGTGCACACAAATGGCTCCACATTCATAGACACTCAGCTCGGGGTTCTGGTTTTCTACACAGGGCCTCTCCTGTTCGTGCTCAGAAATGGGGGTCACGCTGGCACACTGGCTTCCACAGAGGACCGAGGCTCACCACGGCCACTGGCCCCCGCAGCACAGAGGGAACCCTGTGGCCACGCAGATCCGTGTGTTCCCAAACACACAGCCCCTGTCTGGGCCGACCCACACTGCCGTGCGCTCGCTCCCGCATGCACGCGCGCGCGCACAAACCTCCCTCGAAGCCACGGCCCCTCCCTACACTCGGGCAGCAACCCCTACCCCCGCCCCCAGCCTTCAGCAGAGCAAGCAAGGGCACAGAGGCTGTCGCTCAGGGACCCCTTGAGCCCCTCCCTGCCCCAAGAGGGACCGGAGAAGGGGGACAGAGGCACTGGGAGGCTGGAAAGGGGCGGGAGGTGAAGAGGCACAGCCGGGCTGGTTTACAGGGCAAGACAGTGATGGGAAGGCTCAAGGAGGGGGGCACAGAAACACAGAGATAGTGAAACAGAGACACGGAGAAAGAGACAATGAGCAGGAAGAGATTGGCAGAGAGAGAGAGAGACAGGCAAGGGCACAGACAGATAAGGACAAGGAGACAGAGAGACACAGAGATAAGGACAGAGCGCCAGAGAAAGCCTGGTAGGGAGCCGGCACAGAAGGACGGGCACTCGGGGATGGAGGCTGCCGACGCCCTGGGCCCTGCCCAGCTTCGGGATCTGGCACGCCACAGAGTTCCTGAGAACTCGGGTGCCCTGCAGCGGCACGTCAGTGTACCCCCGCCTGTGCACACACGCACATGGACACACACACTCGCCAGGGGCCCCTGACTCACTGCCTCTTCTCAGAACTCTCCCCTCTCCCGCTCTGTTTCCCTGGCTGGAGCGGGGACCAGCCTGCGTGACCTCTCCCCCTCCCCCTTCCCAGCCCCAGCCCAGCCGGCACAGCCAGGTAGCAGGTCAACGGTCCCCGGGGCCTAGGGAGCAATCTCCCGTGACTCTGGGAGAGCTCAGTCCCCGCTCACAGGGTTTAGAGCCGGAGGGACACAGGAAGGGGTGGCGGTGGCTGTGTGCAAGCTGTCGGGCAGCGCACTCAAAGCTGCCTCATTCGTTTGGATTCATCATCAATCTGTCTTTTCGAGTCCATTATCTCCTGGTTAGCTCTGCGGGTGAGGGAGGAGGAGGGGGCGGGCAGGCGGAGGCAGGGGGTCAGGCTGCTGCCCCACCCAGAGAGACCTCTCGGCTCCCCACTCTGCATGCCTCCTGGTCCTCGGCCCAGCCTGTCCATGCCCCCCACCCACCCTCCTGGGGGCTGGACCCACTTGGGTAAGGGGACGAGGACGAGAGCTCTGATGGGGGAACATTCTGGAGCCCGGGGCCCTGGTGTGAAGGTGCAGGGGACTGGGGGGACGGGGCTGGAGGTGGCGGCCCCTCCCATCCTGCAAAGCCCTAGGCCCAGACCCAGACAAGGCCATCTCCTCATCTCCTGGTCTCCCTAGGGCCATTAAAAAGAGAAATTGAGAACCTTCCCGTTAATTACCACGAGATACGGGAGTACCTCGCTGCCAATTATCACAGGCTGCTCAAGTAACTCCCAGACAGAGACGGTTTCCACCTCGGATGCCTTCCAACCCGTCACCGTCACCGCATGAGGCCAGCGCTCCTTGACCACCCTCTAAGCCCCAGGCAGCAGGACGAGGATTTTTCTAGCAGTCCCTCCCCTCTTCTAGAAGTCTTGCTGGCCCCATCAGTAACATAGAATACTCAAGTATTTTCCAGGCACGGCCGTGTGATGTTCGAGTACCTCTAGGCCAATTATTACAGAATACTCCCGTAGGTTTCACCAGCTGCTAACAAGTACTCCAGTATTTTGTAACCAATTACTGCAGGTTGTTGGAGTACTACAGAGTGCTGGAGATTTCTCCCAGTTTGGGGCCCTGAAAAGAGGACAGTCTGTCAACAAGAGCCCTGGCTCTCTGCCCCAGCTAGGGAGCGAAGGGCGGAAAGAGAGCCGGGCAGGGACAGAGAGAAGCCAGGAGTCTCACTCTCTACACCCAAATCAAGAGATGGTGGAAATGGGGAGAAGAGAAGCCCAGCCACCAGGCCATGCCTCCTCACCCCTTCCCACCTATTCCAGCTCAATCCCCAGTTCCAGAGGCAAGAGCTGAAGTTGCCCGATCATGGCAAGGAACGGGGTAGGGGCTAGCTCCCCCCTGGAAAGGGGCTAAAGCGGGAAGGGTGCCAAACAGAGGGTTCTCCGCAGCTAACCGGCCCCTCCCCAAGAGGCAGAGCTTGGGCTCCTGTCTGATCTCCAGAAGACTGCTTTGAGATGGCCGGGCTGTCTCAGACCTGGTCCGCGGATAGCCCCCTTGCCCCAGCTGCACGGAGCACCAGGCACCGTTCAGATGGTCACTGCCGTGGCGGCCGGGGAGCCGCGGTGGCGGAGGCAGGCCCAGGGGCAGCCTCCCGCCGCGCCCGCCGCTCCGGACCCCGCCCGCCCGACGAGAGTGCGCGCGCCCTCGGGGCACGGCTACGCCCGCCCGCCCCCGCGCCCCCCGCGCCCCTCGCGCCCGCTCGCCCGCCGGACACTCACAGCTCCGTCAGGTTCTCAGCGCCCGGCAGGCGGCGGAGGCTATGCAGGGCCCCAGGCCGGGTGCAGCGCAGCCCCGAGGGGCCGTGGGGGCAGCAGACATCGGGGCAGGGCGCGGCGCTCGCGGACGCCAGCATCAGCCAGGCCAGCAGGCTGCCCGGCCCCGCCGCCGGGCCGTACCCGCCCCGCTGCCCGCGCGGTCCGCCTCGCAGCATCGCGCCGGCCGGCAGCCGTCCGTGCGCTCGCTCCCAGCCGCGGCCGCCGGGCCTCCCGCGACACGTGCGCCCACAGCGTTAAAGACCCGGCCGCCGGGAAAGGGCGGGGCCCGCGGCCCGCCCCGCCCCGCCCTGCCCCCTCTGGCTCCACCCCCACCCCTCCCGTCCTCAGTCCTAAGGCTGCCCCCACCCCTTTCGGGGGACCCCGCACCCCTTCTCCCCCAAAACCACCAGCTCCAGAGGAAACGCCTTAGAGGTGTCTGCTGGGGTGGGGGGCGGTGGCTGGGAAGTTGATCCGTTATTTCTCCCAGCTTAAAGCAGCTGCCTTTAGGGGGCGGGAAGATGACAGGGCGGGGGCAAGGTTACGGTCGGGGTCATCCCAGCCAGCGCCCCGCCTCAGATCTCCCTCCTAGCGGTGCGCGCCCCTGAGGGAGTGTACGATATCACTTGGGGTAAATGAGGTGAAAAACTCTCTAACCCTAGGAAGAAAGGGGAAGGGAATCCAAAAGGACAAAACGCAGGATCTGGGGCAAGAAGGAAGGTGTTGCCCCAAAACAGCCGGAGAAGGGAGCCCAGGGAGCCGAGGTGCCCGCTTTCAGGAGAGACCACAGGGTGGCGCTAGAGGCCCGCGCGCAGAGGTGTGAGCTCCACTGGGCTGGGGGCGCGCTCTGCAGCCCCCGCGGAGCTGCGCCCCAGGCCCCAGCGACCGCCCCTGACCCCGGCCGGCCAGCGCCGGGCCCCAGGCCGGGTGGGGCCTCGCGGGGCTGGGCTGGCATCGATCGCCGTCCTGACAAGAGCATCGATTTCTGCGCGGAGAAATTAATAGATCTTCTCTTAGCTCCTCGGACCCGGGAGCCGCCCGCGGGTGGAGCTGGGGACCCGTCCGTCCTCGGAGGCCCCGCACCCGGAAAGCCCCGGAATCCCCAGCGCCTCCCGCCCCGCGGGCCTCGGCGGCTGCAGGAGCCCACCCGTCTCAGGCCGGGGAGGGGGCGGTAAGGGCGAGCAAGGGGGTCCCCGGAGGAGGGACTCTCGGGCAGGGCGGGCAGGCTAGGGCCGCAGGGAGCGCGCAAAGCTAGCCCTCCGATAGGGAGAGGCGCGCGGTTGCCCCTCCGCCAGGCCCCAGCCCCGAGACGGGGACAGACAGACCGACCGGCAGCCTAATTTGGGAAGGCGACTGGACAGAGGCGGGCCCACAGGAACTTGGCTATGGCCGAGGGCCTTGGCTGGGACGGAGCCCCCGGGTGGCGGCGAGGGGCTCAGAGGGGCGAACGGCTTGCATGTTCAGGACCCGGTTTGCGTTCCCGCCGGGTTTCAGCACGCTCGCTCCGCCGGGTCGTGGCTGCCAGAAGCCACCCTGCAGGTGTCAGGGCTCCGGGCAGCAGAACGCTGCCCCCCCCCCCACGGCCCCCCTCCTCCGCCGGCAGCGCGGCCCCACGTGAGTGAGGCTGCAGGGGCAATAGGGGAGCTCGGTTCCCGGACAACCATCCCCCTGTATTTTGGCCTTATTTCCCCAACAGACCTGTCCCCCCCACTGAGTTGTCAGGCTAAATATTTTGGCTTGGCGAGAAGGGCGGAGAGAGCCGGAGGTCCCAGCAAGCCAATCCGTCTGGCCCTGGGGCGGGGAGGGCGGGAGCTGGGCGCGGCCCCCAGGCGCGCGGGCCCGGAGATAGCGCGGCCCGCGCGGCCACCTGCCGCTCCCGTTGCTCGGGCGCCGGGCGGCCGCGAGGATCCGGGCCGCTCTCCCCCGCGCGTCCGCGCCGCTCTCCCGGGCGGGATCCCCAGGCTTCTCTTCGGCGCTTGCTCGGGGTCGGCAGGCCTCCTGGACTGCCTTTTGCTCGGCACCCTGCGTGCCTTTCTCGCTCTGGAGGCCTGCCCCGGTGGGCTCTGTTGCCGGCTGCATCGCTGTCTTCATCGGTCTGTCTCTGGGTTCAGCCTGAGTCTCTGTCCGCAGCTGCTGTGGCTGTCTTTGTGTCTCTGTAGCTCTCATTCCTTCTCCTGCTCTCTCTGTATGGAATTCCCCCTCGGTGCCCCCTTCCCCTGCGCTCCCCTCCCCCCTGAAACCTGCATCTCTGTGTCCCTTAGGGCCTGCCAGTCCCTTCTCCTCCCTGGAGCCATCTGCAGAAGCCAGGACTGGGCACAAGGCAGGGCTGGGACAATGGCAGTACCCAGGCTGTGCGGGTGGGCAGCACGCCTGCTCGCCATCCTCCTCTCCATGGGATTTGGCCTGGACACACTAGAGGGTGAGTCCCCCAACACTGTCTCCTGGAGCCCCATCTCCACTCCTCCCACACACCCCAGCCAGCTGGGAAGCCAAACAACTGAGTCTCCAGCTAGAACATATGTGTTTACCTACTGCAACATGAAGACTGGGGTTAGCTCTCAGAAGGACTTCCTACCAGCAAGGGCAGTTAGTTCCCACATAAGCGTGGTTTCCTCTCAGTTCCCTGGGATGTGAGAAGGACCTTGAAACAGAGGGATGAAGAGATGTCCTCCATTCCCGCTTGTGAAACCCTGATCCCAGCAAGCCTGAATGAGAATGCCATGAGGGGGAGAGTCTTAGGGGTCATTTCCAGGGCCACTGAATTCGACAGGCACAGGGATGGGATGCGTAGCTCAGAACTGGGCACCATGAAGTAACTGAACCCGTTGTGCAGACAAGGAACTGAGGCTCAGAGGGTTGGGACGGAAAGCTGGCCCGGGGCCTTGGGCACTGGCCCCTGGGCCTTGTCTCGTGACCCCCACACTTAGGGCCCATCCACTGGGGTGGGGGCTGCCTTTCGCTAGTGCTCTGGGCCAGACACTTCCCGTGTGCAGAGCAGGTGGCCCTCGTGCGGGTGCGGGGAGCTGAGCGGGCAAGATTCAAAAGGGGGAGGATTCCCCAATGCCATGATCCCCTTCCAGACTGAGGCAGCTCAGGGGTCCAGTGCTCTGTGCCTCCTGAGGGGTCCTGTGACACCCTCAGACTGAGGGCTTCCAGGAGCAGGCCAGAGACAGAGGAAAGCTGCAAATGGGTTGGGGTAGGGGGTCCCCTGAAGAGTGCCAGTCAGGAAGGCATTGCAGGCAAGGAAGAGCCCCTCCCCCTCCTCTCCTCCACTGCTGCGCCAGGATGCCAGCCAGGAGCACGTCCCCGGAAGGGAGTGGGTGGGGGTGGCATTTGGTTGTTTGGTCACAGGGGACCCAGATGTCCCATTCCCAGTGCAGCTCTGCACAGGGAGGGCCATGTCCTGAGGGGAGGCAGGTAGGGGTTAATCTGTGAAGGTCGTGGATTTGTTTTTCCAAATGACTCCCATCAGGGGAGCCCTAGAGAGGCAGGGGCATGATGGGAAGCGGCATGTGGGCGCCTTGCAGGCCCTGATTGGCCTTTGCCTGGAGGGCTAGAAGTGTTTTCTCATTCTATTTTTCTCTTTGTGTGTGTGTGCGTGTGTACCTGCGTGTGCTCAGGCACACCCACACCCACCCACCCACACACACACACACACACACACACACAGTAGCTGGGCAGAGCCGAGCACAGGGACCATTAACAACAGCAAGGAGAAGGTGTGATGTAAGCCCCAGGGAGCCACCCCCCTCCTCAGCAGGGGCTGGGCCTGGGTCTGTGGGAGAGTACCCAGAGCCAGGCAGGAAGTAAGGGAGCGGAAGCCAGACAGCCCAGCAGGCTCGAGTGGCCAGCTAAAGAATCAGACTTGCATCTCATGCCATGGAAGGAAGGTATCCCCGGGAGCAAAGTGAGAGCGCACGGACCAAGTACCCAGCCCACCAGGGGGACTGGTCCTAGGTGCCTTGGGAAGAGAAAGGGGGCCTGGGGCCTGGGTCAGAAGAAGCCAGACACACCCCGGTCCCCAGGAGAGGAGTGGACTTGAGAACCAAATGTCCATCAATTCAAACCATGGTCCCAGTGCCTGGTGGCTCCAGTCCTGAACTGAGCACCATGGAGGGACGCGGTGCTGACCAACAAGGGCCCCACCCTCAGGAGGTCCCCTCCCTGGAGGGTGACAAAAACGTAGACGGCGGTTGTGGGTGCCCGGGCAGGTGCTGCCCAGCCTGATGGAGAAGCGATTGACGCAGATCAGAGGATTGCGGGAGGCGGGCTTGACCCGCGGTTTGTTTGTGGGACAAGAGCTGAGCTTGTGACCAGGCTGAGGAACCCCTCTGAGGCTGAAGGTATTCGTGTGGGCCTGTGTATCAACACCCCGCCATGTCAGGCTGAGGAATTTAAGTTTGAACTTCCGGCAATGGGGAGCCACGGAACCTCCCTTCGAGGGTAAAGCAATGCGGGGACCAGACATCGAGCTCCTTTAGGCCTGGGAGGGAAGTGGGATGTATGAAGCTGTGCTTCTCAGCCGTGGAATTCATTCATTCGTTCATCAGATATTGGCTGAGCACCAATTTTGTGCCAGGCTCCAGACTAGCCACCATGGATACAGCAATGAATTATACAATCCCTGCCCTTCTGGAGCTTACAGTTTAAACAAAATAAATTATATTATTAGCCAGTGTTAAGATTTAAGGAGAAAAAATAAGTAGGAAGGGAAGCAGGGAGTGTTTAAAAGGATGGTCAGGGATGGGACCATTTAGGGGGAACAGTGTTCTAGCCAGAGGGAACAGAAGGTGCAAAGACCCCAGGGCAGAAGCTTGGCAGGCTTGTGTGAGGAACAGCAAAAAGTCAGTGTGGCTGGAGAAGAGAAGGAAGGGGATGAGATGGGGCCAGAGAGGCTGCAGAGGCCCGGCCACAGCTGGGGTAACGGCTGGGGCTTTCAACCAGCAAGAGGGGGCCAGCCGGGGGCTTAAAGCAGTGGAGGAACGGGATCCAACCTGTTTTGAGAAGATCCCTTTGGCTCTCCAGTGCAGAACAGACCAGGAGGGGACCAGGGCAGCAGTGGGGGGGACCCCCTGGGAGGCCCCTGCAGTTAATCAGGGAGGTAGGGATGGTGCCAGCAGTGAAGGTGGAGACCAGTGGTTGGATATGCTGTAATTTGAAGATCGAGCCCACAGGGTGTGTGGCGAGTGGAGGAGAGGAGTCCAAGAAGACTCTAGATTCGGAGTCTCACCGGGGGGGGGGGGTGCAATGGCAGTCCCCTGAGAAGGGAGGCAGGCTGGGGAGG